TTTCTCTCTAATAACTTTGGTGTTAAGAACTACCATCAATTTTTGTGTGAGTGTTTAGGTTGTTTTTTTGTTTGGTTTGGTTTCACTAACCTGGAGATTTTCGGAGCTTGAATGACATCTTCATTTGATATTTTTAGACTATGACTAGAAGGCTTCAGAACCTTCATTTTTCTGTTTTTAGCCATTCCCATGTGAAGTCCAGATTTGAGAACCATGGCTATTTAAACTTATTGCGACTCAGACATTTTCCCCAATGATTGGGTTGGGAGAAGTCCTGATTCCTTTAAGGTGTGCAGGCCCTGAAGTAGCTAAGCAGTCTGAGGCCATCATGTTCAAATGTCACTATGATTGTACAACTGATCTTGTTGGAATGTTAAATTTTGTTTAGCTAATATCAAGATAATTTTGGCTAATATGAGATGAAATTTTGTTTTTGTTTTGGTTAGAAACAGTTCTAGCCTTGGGGACTCTCCCATGGATGCGGTTTTTGCCCTGTTTCTTTCTTATTGTTGAATTGTAAACAATGACCTTAACCGAAGTAAGTGAGGCCTGTAGTGCCTCTTAGGTTGTTTCTTGGCTCTTTCGTGGACTTTTGGATGAATTTTTGATCTGCTCTTGGTGTAATTTTGGTGCACTTCTGGGTACCTTGTGTATTCTTATCACCATTTGTAACTATCCCTCTCAGATGACAAGTACAAGTGTTGCCTTTTGAGATCATTTAGCGTTCTTTATGTTGTTCACTTAAGGTTCCCTAAAATTGATGGCTCCTGAAATCAAAACTGATTTTTGTATTTAGTTTTCAGTATGACCAAAAGCTAATAGAAAACTTCATGGCAAAGCATAAAATCAGTTAACGTGCATCAAAAGCATGTAATTTACATTCACTTTAAGTTTGTTTATGCAGAAATTTCTCCACAAGTTTATTCCTTTATATTTTAAACTTACCAGACAGAAAGAAGCAGTGAAGTTTGTCACGGACAAGTTTGGGTCAAGGACCACAGAACCAGGCGCTGTGTCGCATACAAACATCCTCTATGTTACCAGACAGGAGCAAATATCTATCAATAACGGAATAAGGAACATAAAATTTTATTATTAAGTGGATGTTTGTAAAGTGTACACCTGATTTTATACTTGAGCCAAGCAGCCATGTGCGTGTTAACTAATGCTTTGTAGTGGGATTTCTAAATGTGAAATACGAGTTGCTTATTTCAACAGCTCTATGCATTGCCTTTACAAATTACTCACACGATTTAATCCTTTTCACATTCTGACACATTTTCACTATTCACTTAAATTGGTTTTATTTCTTTTTTTGTGTGTTCACTAGAGTTAACTAAAATAAAAAAGGGCACAATTTACATTTATTTGTGAAAGTAAAATAATTAAATTTAATCTGTGTTTAGTCTAAGAATCAGCCAAGAGGCCATTGATAACTCTAGAGGTGATGTTCAGGAAGGGAAATCTTTTGACCGATTAACAATTTAATGATATAAAACGAACTTTACCTTTACGTAAGTGTGGCAAGAAGAGCTATGCCCTAACTGTGTTTCGATTGGAGGTTTTTAGTGGAACACGTGTTTTCCTCCAATTCTCTAAGACAGAGTGTACAGCAAAGTGTTCCTCTCGATATGCTAAACATTGCCTTGCTGATTTGCACTGCTCTCCTAATGAAATAGATCACCTTCTCACCACTGAACTCTGTTTTTTCAAAAGGTCAGAATAGGAAGAACTGCATACGCAGTCATATGAGCTATCATTTCTGAACAGACTAGTTCACCTTTAAAAAGACTTCATAGTAACACTGATGCAAATGCAGAGAAAAGACCAGATCATGCCTGAAAACTCCAGGTGATTCATCTGTGTATAAAACCCTGTCATGCGCCAACTCATTCGTGACATCTGTGGTTTGGCATCATTACGATCTAAACTGTCTGATAACTCTTTTATATGTTCAGAGAAAATCTGTCTCCAGGCAACATTTCAGATGTTTTCCAAAACACTGTGTTTTATGTTTGTTTGGAGTTCGGGCATCGAAGAAGGGGGGACCAACTCACAGCCAGCGCAACTTCACATGTACTCCTATAGCAGATCGTTTTGCAAGTACCTTCAGATTATCGGATAAGATAAGAATGTTACCCTTTTTTTTCCCTTTCATCTGTTTCAGATCTTATTTTCCATCACCTTCTTCCCTCACTACCTGCCCTTTAAAATATCTACTGTTTCAGATCCAACCAGCAGTCTGGTTGCATGCAAAATAGTACAGAGGTATTCAAATGCACTAATTTCCCATGGGACAACCAGCTTATTTCAATTATATATTATTAAACAAGATTTTAAACTGCTTTAAAATTGCTTGTGTGACATGAAAGATCAAAGTCGTGTGAAACCTTTGAAGAAGAGCTTTTGCAGGTATACTAAATTCAGGTGCTGGTTGCTCGACACATGCAACCGTTTATGTTTGCCTTGCAAAGGTCTGCACCCCTCCAGAATCTTAGAGCTTCACTATCTTGTGGACTGCTGGTAAAGCTAGAATGTTTTGTTCTGGCAGAGCGAGCTATGTCCTATCAGTAGATGACTGGCAAAGATCTTGAGAGAGGGAAAGTAAAGACTAAGACTTGTCTTCATCAAACCTGTTGATAAATTTGCCTTCAGGTTGATCCTCAGCACCGACCGGCTCGAAACTTTTTTGTAGTGGCCAAAACAAAGAAAATCATCTGTTGGCAAATGTTTAAGGAATGCAGACACGTTGAGGCATAATCGCAGATGAAAGTGAATGACTTTAGACAGTAGAGAACAGAATAGAAATGTTTGATGTCTAAATAGCTGTAGTTGTATTATTGTATAATAGGAGTTAATTTATCATTTTGCTTAATTGGAATGTTTTTTTTTTCTGTGGAAACAGTGGCTGATTGGGGAAAGAGACAGTCACTGCGGGACTATCTGCTCAAGGACCCTTGGGAAGCATGTGTGTGGCTCCGATGGGCGGACCTACGAGACAAACTGTGAGCTACAGAGGGCCCGCTGCAAAGATAAAACACTGACAATGGCACATCGAGGGAGGTGTCGAGGTGAGAACTTCACAATGTACCTGGGCTTGGCTTTTTTTGTTCTTTATTTCTGCAAAAAAGGAACAAAAATTGTTAAAAACTCATCTTGCCCATCAATACAAAACCACTGATACCTGATTCAGATCAAATTTAAAATAAAACTGAATTTGAAGATAACTTTAAATTGGTACTTTGTACTATTTAGTCCCAGGTAAAAATATGTAAAAGTCAGTCTATAGAAGATGACTAAGTTGTAGAAATCCAAACCTGAACAATTGGCATAATCTTTTTATTCAATATGTATGTAAAATAAATACATATGTATTGTTTACACCTCTTGTTGTTTTTTTTTAATGTTTTTATATACAAAAGTTGAAAAAATAAAATAAAAAAGGAAATAACTCAGTAGATGAAATGCCAAAAGCAACATTAAAAGAATATAGCGTTCCTATCAAATACTCCCAAACAGACAATACAAATGAAAATGTATAGAAAATTCTCCACATAAACTCAAGATTTACCTGTAGCTGTCACAAAAACTAAACTGTATATTTTAAACTGTATCTTAAAAGTTTATGTGCATAAAACCATAAATGGTTTGTTTGTCTTTCAGTGAAGTTTCTGTTGCCGGCGGCTCCAGCGCCTACCTCCCCGTCTGACGGGAGAGACCCAGAGTCTAAAGGTAAGGATTGAGAAACCTCAGACCTTGGCTACTGTTATATTTCACCCCCATGTAGGGGAAAGGTTTATTTGGAGGAATGATGTTTTACTGAAACCCAGAGGTAGTTGGATATAAACCTTACAGAACCACAAAGAAATGTTTTAATGAGTCAAAGCTCCGTTTATTATAGTTTGTCAAACCACGCTCTATGATACTGCTTTATTCAAAAATAACTCGAACATCTCAGGAATTTTTAGAACATAAAATTTGTGCTAAGAAAAGTCTCTTTTCAATTTAGCAACAGAAAACCCATCAACAGAATTGTTTTTTTTTGTGAACAATGCAATAAAAAAGCTATTATGCCTACTGCCAATCTGAAAGAGCACTCTTGCTTTTTGTTGTTGAGCCATAGATTGAACAAGAATCCAGGTTGCAGCTCGTTCAGATGATCTAAATTCATTTAATATTCTCATTCATGAATTTGAATTTGATGCAAAATGCTCTATTGTTTTCTGTTTGCAGATTTTAAACACACTGTTTTCTTTTAATGTTGGGTTTTATTGCAGAGGAAGAATTAATTAGCAATGCGCTCCAACTAGGACAGGGAATAATTTTTTCTTGCTGTCAGCTTGTTGGCGTTTAGATGACCATCCTCATTGCTTTCTTACTTAGCTGACATTTACACTTTAGTTTTGCAATAAATATGCTAGATAAAAGAAGATTTTTTTTTCACTCTCTACGATATAAACACCAAACACAAAAAAAACAATAAAGGCATCTATTTGTAGATCACAAAGGTTCAGCCACAGAAGCTAAAGGTGAAAAAAAGGAAGCTGAATGAGAAGCTCTCTGTTTGCATGAATGAGGTTTGACAGGTGATAATCTAATGTTACACTCGAATCTGGATGCCAGCCCCTCTCAACAACAACAACAGAGACTGATAGATTCAGATTCATTTATTCAGAGCTGGAACTTGGCATTTTCAATGTATTTTTTTTGTGTTGTGTTGAAGTAATTGCAACTAGTCTGATTAATCGTTACCTATTGTAGATTAATGGTACACAGTCTCTAAAATATGCAATTTGAAAAAACGACCTACGTTCAGCAGTAATTAAAACTTAAAGCTGAAGTCTGCAAGTTTTTAAAAATCACTTTTTTGTCATATTGGCTAAAACTGTCCCTATGCCCAGACAGCAGTACATGTGATATGTAACCTGTGAAAAAAACTGCTTCAATTGGTCCCGCCTACTGCCTGTATTTCAATCTGGAAAGCATAATTCGGGACGAGTCAAAACAACCAATCACAGCCAGAGGAGCGTCTGATGGAGTGTCAATCACAGCTCACACACGCTGAATCCCGCCCCCCCCCCCCCGCCGCCTGCGGGAGCCGCGCAGATGCTGTGAGAGGGGTGGGGCTTGGAGGTGGGGCATGAGTGAAGCAGAGAGGGTGGGGGAGTGGCGTGAAACCTGTTTTTCTTCAAATTTTCAGTCGAAGTCTGCTCTCTTCTCAATGTTACAGACTGCAGCTTTAACTCTAAAAAAAATACAAAACATTTTCTACTTTAGTTAAAAATTCTTCATTTCTTTATACACTGGTATACAGTTGTGCTTGAAAGTTTACATAACCTCCCATAAAAAATATAAGAAATTCACACTAGTCATCCAAATAACACAAAACTGCAAAAAGTAATAATAACTTGAAATACATTAAAGGATAACATAGGAAAAATTGAAAAACACAAACTGACCCAGAAAAGTATAGCTCTTCTGCAAATATTTGAACACGTGTCTATCAGCTAGAATTATTATACTAAATTAGATGCACCTGTTTGAGGTCATTATCTGCATAAGGACACCTGTCCACTCCATACAATTGGTAAGAATCCGAGGCCCAATCCCAAACCAGCCCCTAAGCACTAACCCTCCATTTGCACGTTCCCGAGGAGCGTCCGCCACATTATGTGCCGTCCCAAACCATGAGTGTCCATAGTAGGTCTAACACACTTGATGGTTAGCTACCAGCATATTGTTTGTAACTAATTTATTGTACCACTGGGTGGGGCTACATCTTACACACTGTCCCTCAAAAGAGAAAAACAACAAATCAAACAAAACATTAACAATGGATAGAAAATTGAGGAAGCAGCAATGCAGGCATTTCAACTAATTTCAAGGCATGGCTGCTGAATGCACAAATGAATCTGCAAACACATGCATCTATTAGTGATGCAACACTATATTGCATGGAGCCCCAGTCTGAGGGAGATTGACAGTCATATTTAGCTTCTTCCATTTTCTAATGATTGCTGGACATTTTTTCACCAAGTTCTTCAATTTCGCTGTAGCCGCTTCCAGCCTTAAAGAGGTGTACAATTTTGTTTCTAGTGTCTTTGGACAGCTCCTTGGTCTTGGCGATGTTAGTTGTTGGGCTGACTCCCAAACCGCTCCTTAACCACAAACCCTTAACTATCAAGAGTCACTCTCAATAAAGTCAAACTCACAGCTGTGGAAGGTGCCTGGATTGTATGTAGGGAGTATAAACATGAATTAGATGGCCTCCTTCCTCCAACGAAAGGGAAAGCAGTCATTCCTATAGCAACACAGTGAGTTGCTATTTCAAAGAGGACTCCCAGTTAATGGAGTTCTTTTTTATATTTTTTCAAACTTTTAAATTTTCTTTAATTGCGACACAGATGTAGCAAAGCAGTGGAAGTTACATTCGGGGGGACAAGCTAGTTGCTTGACTGCGATGCCCTGTTCCTCACATAATGCCAAAACAATCTTCACTTGTTATCCTTCCAATTAAATAGTCTTAACCAGTTAAAAGATGAGCTGATGTCATATGGATGTTCGTGCATTGCCACAGAAGTAGAATGTAGATCCATATATGGTCTTTGCTTGTTTTAAACTCAGATGGAGGTAAAAATGTGTAAGGCTGTGAAGTTTGTCCCATTTCAGCTACTATGATGAAAAATAGGAATGCAAGACGGCGGTACACACTGTGTCATCTTCCACTGGGTGTACCGCCCTCTATCTACTTATAAACAACAAATTCTAAGCTAGGAGAAGGCTTTCAGTTCTTATGTGATGTTATTAGTCTGCTTTTAAAAAATGCCTTAAAAAAAGGCACTCGATTACAAGACAAAGTCCAACTGATCTGAGTTACAGTGGTCAGCCGAAACAGGGATGTCTGCAGCACCAAACCAACAACAGCGTTGATGTATTTGCATAAGCAGTGTTTGAGACCATACTGCCTCTGTCACTGTGTTACAGATGCAGGCCAGTCAAAGTGCCTTGTTGAGAGGAACCAGGCTCTGGAGCAGTCCAGGAGGCCTCAGGAGTCCACGTTTATCCCAGAATGCAATGAGGATGGAACGTTTGCCCAGGTGTGTGAGTCTCATACCATTCATACATTTTTCCTTCCTCTTAAACATTTCATTCTTCATCTTTTTTTATGTCATCATCTTCATATTATCAAGGAGTTTGTTTATTGATCTCATGTTCTAACCGTACAGTAAATGCAATTCTAATATAGAATCTATTTGTATCTGCATATATTTGTCTTGCTTGTGCAGGTCCAGTGCCACACTCTGACAGGTTATTGCTGGTGTGTCACCACCGACGGCAAGCCAGTGAGCGGTTCCTCTGTGCATAACAGGAGGCCTGTTTGTTCAGGTACTTTGAATGGGTGGGGCGTTCTAGTATCAGCTATTTTTTGAAGGAAATGTGCGTTGGTGTTCCAGGTTCATCCTAAAATCCTTATCATTTAACATCTGAATTGATCTTTATCAATTTGATCTTCAAAAAAGCAGTGAGGCCTTGGATTTTATTAATTTTGGACATAAAGAATTTGGCTACATTAGCATTGGTGGTACAGCACATGAGCAATACTGCTTTTGAACTGAGGCGCAACTGAAACATTTGGCCATGAGCAGCTGATATCACTATTTTATCATATTTTACACTATGCAGTTGCTTTGACTGCACTAATGAAAGTCTAATGATGCTGGACTGTTGAATTCTCTGAGAGGCTAACGATTAAACCCTAACTAGGTCTCCAATTCAATCGGCAAACTCCTCTATCATTTGTCTAGGATTTGATTGGGTTGATATTTTTCATATTTAGAAAGAGAAAAAAGGGTGTATGAAAAAAAAAGAAGATACCAAAGACCCTGAGGTCAACAGCTGTACCCTCAAGAGTTAAATCTTTTTTTGCTAGATGCTTAATTTATACTTACAACATTGGACACAACAGGACAAAGTCTTGGCAAAACCAATATATCACTGTAAAATTAAATCAATCTTTACAATGCAGACACACACTGTACAAAACAAGGCTCAGCAAAAACATGCACAAAAGAGGCAGATATGGATGATCAAGACAACGTGTTTCGCTTCCTTACACAATTACACAGATTTGCTCTATTTATTGTTGTTCTTTACAGAAGTAGTTTCCTTGCTGATCTTATAGCAAAGATCTTTGCACGGTCAATGTTCTGTTAAATTAATGATTAGCCCAGGTCTTCATTTTTTTACTGTTTCTTTTAACCCGGAGAATGAAATGGATAATTACGAAAACCATTTCGTTACATTTTCAACTTGATTTTTAAAAATAATCTGTCTTGTTGATGAAGCCTTTGAACCAGTTCCCAGACAACACTCTAGTAAATGTGTTGTACAGCAGGTGCAGTTCAACAAAAAATGCTAATGGCTGGAACATGCAGGGGCCTCTCCACTCCTTTCCTCTAAATGCTTTCAGCAGGACGGAGCAGGACTCTTTGCACTCATCCTACATGGGAACACTTTATGATAATAGTTTCCTCCATCCAGGGATCATTGCCAGGATTGGGTTGTAGAGCCACTAGAACGAGTGTCAGGTGGAAGTGTTCACATCTCCTTTTGAAGTCGTTTAAACATACTTATGGGTAATAAAAGAAGAGATTTGATAACATTTAACACAGGAAAGCTTAGAATACAGCTTCTATCAGAACATTAAAAAAGACAGGATCAATTCTCTAAATGGAGTCTTAACAGATTTTACTTTTGTGTTCATCTTACTAGTAAATAGTGGTGCAAGATGAAACCACGTTAGTTTCTGAATACAAAGTCACCAACCTTTTCCACATAAAAAAAAATCTCTAAGTTTTATTTTTTTAAATCCAATTATACCATTCAAGCTTTGGTTAAGATTTACCTCTTAAACAATTCCCCTCTTTCTTGATCTGAAAATATTCTTACTCAACTTCTGCCTTTTCAAACCCTCTTATCAAAGTCCAGTGCTTGCAACCATCTAAACCCCTCTATCTGGGTGCATTTCTCAGGAATTCTGTACCTGCTGGGAAAAAAAGGGTTAGGGCACATTTTAAACAAATGCAATGAAGGATGATACTTTGCCTGTTGGTCCTGGAAGAACAATGTTAACATTTAAGGACTGTTCCAAACAGAGCCTGAAAAACAAGCATATTTAAGCAAAACAACCTCAGGTGTGCAGGTGGCGCAGTGGTTGGCAATCATAACCCATCTACGGAGGCCTTAAGGCTGATTTATTCTCAGAAACCAGGTCGTCTGCTTGTGTGTCGCAGTTAACACAAATATGCCCCCGCCCCTTCCGAAGATACTCTGGTGCGCCTCTCCAAAATTGTAGGTGTCCGCAGACAGTGCCGTAGACAGGAGGCCTCTGATTGGTTAAATCTACATCTGCTCTACACTATCCGTATTTCCTGTTTGGTACCTTACTGGCTTGTTTTGTTTGTATGACCGCCATTGTGGAAGTCGACTCATGAAGTTGGCCCAGCTTGAAGAGCAAGGTGCGCAAGAACGCTGGGACCCTTTTTCCACCTGGATCCCGGCTATTTTTCCCTCCTCAGTTGTCGCACAAACTTGACCCTTGCATTTTTCCTCTTCCTTACCGCCTTGGCCGTATCCAGATGCACAGATTGATTGTCCTTCATGCGTTGGTGTGTGGAATAACACAGTGCAGACCACGCTTCAATATTGGGCATAAATCAAAAATATCTGCGTCATACCTGCTACAAGTTCACTCTGACACACTGCTGCTGGAGTATAACCAGCCCTTTAGTCCTCGACGCAGCCGACCTGGGTTAGAATCCGCACAGAAAAAGAGGCTTGTCTCTCCCCCTCTCTCTTTCCCCTTTCCTGTCAGCCTACTGTCAAAAAATGAGCCACTACTTACGTAAAAACTCAAACAAAAAAAAAAACTCCTGATTCTCCTGAACTAGGCCTTCAAATGATCAGGCCTGCACACTGACAAATTCATTGTCACTATCTACAAGCAGGGCAAAGTAGGTGACTTCTCTGGTTTGCTAAGAAAAGGAATTGAACTGGAATTGTTTGTCAATTAGTCAAGAGTGAATCATTACATTCAAGAGAATCAGAAGAATTTAGTAGGTCATGAAAAGAAAGCGAGGATCAGATGCATAATGAAAGATGAGTGTTAGTAATGATTAGAGGGGCAAATTAATACGATTTTGCTCAGGCAGTTTCCCAACGGCATTATATACACAGATAAAAATAAATTCCTGCCAATTGGCAGGAGCAGTTCACAACTGAGCTACAACAGTTACCCAACTCTAATTATTAGCTCTGACATGAGGTGAACCACAAAATGGCATATATTTTGTCGTTTTCTGTTTTGTCACATTACAATAAAAAAAATGAGTGTGATATGTGAGTTGACAAACTAATGGCATGAAGTTGAAGGGAAATGTTACAAATAGGAAAAAGTCCTAACTAATAAAATTCTAAAACATGTGGCATGGATCAGCCCTGTCTAACCTGATACCCTAGAAAATTCTGAGCAGCTAATTGGCATCAGAAGGCACCATCTTAAATATAAATTGAGTCCACCTGTGTGTAATATAATCTTGGGCTACATACAGCTTTTTGGTTCGATGTGAGTTAGACAACAAATTGCATCGCAGAGACCACAGAACAAAGCAGAAAGATCAAGGAAGTTTAAAGAGGAGTTCTGTTGTAAAACCAAAAATATCAATCATATTTTTGATGGCAGTGTGGCAGTATCATGCTGTGGAGACGACTTTTAAAAAATCCTCTTAATGCTGGTTCACACAGCAAGATAATTAGTGTGATTTCTGCCCCCATCCATCCCTGCCTATGATTACAAGGATTCCCTGATGATCATATAAGATATTTCTGCCATGTTTGGTGTGTTAGAAGTGACTTGTCTGCTCAGAAGGAAGTCCTGACCTCTTTGGATTATGCAGCTTAATGATGTGATAAGTAGCCTATCACAAAGCAGTTGAATGGTGAAGGAAACCAAACCAACAAGTCACCACTGTTTTCTCTCCTTTAAGGGACAACCTTTTCTTTTTGTAATGTTTATTGCTGTTAATCTTGGTCCACAAATTGCTGCCTCCTCCATTTGGCCATTTTTATTTACTCTAAACTCATGTTCGATATTTAGAGGTTTTGTGAGATATTCCATCTGATCTGAACTTTCCTGAATTAAACTTTAGTTTGTGTGGTGTGCTGGCTTGCTGTAGGGTTCCACACCACACCCCTGTTGGACCAAACCTGTTATATCTACTTTTTTTGTCTTGATTTGTCGGTCTATGTTTTCAATATCACCTGAGAGTTTTAAAATCTTGCCGTATGAACCAGGCATTAAAAGCTGCAAAAGGACTTCAGACTCAGGAACGGCTAACGAAGTCCAGATCAAAATCCAACTCAGAAGTGTCTTCAAACGATTTTAACAAATTATTTCCAGTTTCTACATCTGAAATATGAGTAGAGATTACCAAAAAAGATTTGACACCAGTGAAAAGTGTGCCTCAGGACACTGACTCAAAGATGCCCAATACAAACACATACCTACTCTTTTCATACTTAATCTGGTATTTTGAAGTTGAAACATTTTGAAATATATCAATTTCCTTCCATCGGACAGTTCTGTACTACTTTCTGTTTGTCTTTTGTATAAAATCCCAACAATTTGTTTTAAAGTTTTTTGTCATAGCTGGACAAATTGGGAAAAGGTTCAAGGGCTGCAGATTCATTTGCAAGATCCTTTTCAGCCCTGTAGGCCCTCGATGACATAAACCATTGCAGATATAGTTCTACTGTAGTGATAGACATCTGAGTGGAAAAAAAATAAAGAAAAACACATATTCTCTGCTGTTCACTGGAGACATTATTCCATCTTCTGGTTTAAAAAAAATCTTAAACAAAAACTGATTCGTATTGTGCAATGATGCCTTCATCCCCTCCCTCGCTTCTGCCTTGCATAAGGTCCAATATCTTCATGGTTTCTTGCAAAGGTATGTATGGTGCTGAAACCAGAATCTGGTTGCTGTTAAACTGATCTATAGGCCTCTCTGTCATGCTGGACTCAAACTTTAAATGATGACCCAAATGAATCATCTTGCATACATTTGCAGGAAACTTCAGTGAAAATATGGGAACTCATGCTGGAACGCGTGGATTCTCAGTTAGTAAGTTTTCTTCCAGTTGCTTTCACTCAGCACTCTCCACTTAGCCCTTCTTTTGTAATTGGTTGGGTCAATTGATTACTTTGTCTCTGCAAACAACCATGCATGAAACTGACTATCTGCATGCAATGGAAAAATTCTTTGAAATCAGAATTGTGTAATTTTGTTTTTAATACCAGTAAAATGGCAATTTCAATTAGTAAGGCATAGGTATCAGGCCAGTGAAATGGGTGCAATGTTACAGTGGGGGAGGGGGCTCCAGTCAAGTACTAGGATTCTTCTACAGCAAGACATCGGACAGTATCTGTGACCAGTAGTGTTTCTGTTGGTGAATATCCCGTATTTACCAACAAGCTTAGTTAGAAATATTGAAAAGAAACCTGAATCAAGTTAAAATATTTTAAGGTGAAGCTCTTCTGTTGCTCCTGCTATCTGTTTTAAGTGTTGCTCTTTGTTTGTGTCTCCACCCCTATCACCTCCCCGCCCTCCAAATGTCACAGGGTCAGTAACTGACAGACCACCTGGGCCCCCAAATGCGGGTAGAAAAGGTGAGTTGAGCTCTGTTGCATGTCCAGTGGTTCTGTATGTGTTGAAGAATGAGTTCAAAATGTCTTTTGACCCAGTTTTGAACACCATTTGTCCAAGTAAATAGTGCCACAAGAGGAAAAGGAATCCTCAGGTATTCACAGTTAAGAATAGTGATGGTAAGAGAAAATTTTTGTTTGAAATTTTAACAAAAGAAAAGTAGAGCATCAATCAAGAGTGGATTATTTTGTAGCATTTGTGCACCTTTTTGTGTCTTTTTAGAGTAAAAGTGCCATTGAACAACAACAACAACAACAAAAAAATCTGTTGATTAATGTTTATGATGAGATTTGAAAGTAGATTTTCCCAGTTACCATTTGTGTGCTTGTATGAAACACTATTTATTTACAGTAGTAAATAAGCTAAATCTTTATCATAGTAGTAATAATGATAATAAATACATTTATTCTATTTTCCAAGTTAACTTTTTTCATCCAGGAGTTCCTTTTGGTCTTGTTTCAAGGGAACCTATAGCATGATTGTCATTTGATTAGTCAAAGCTAATTCTTTTGGTGTGTTTAACACTTTAGTTCGTAGCTACCCACAACCTGGAAGAAAGGGAAAGCAAAATGAATCACTATATAAGTATGATTTAAATCCTATTATTTTTTTAATTATGATTTTTACCTGCAAAAGATATTTTTTATGTATTAGCACTTGATCTCCTATGAAGGACTTAGATGTAATATTTGTAGAATGACTTCCATTCAAACGTTTTCTGTTGTTTGCTTTTGACCTAATTATTCCCTAAGCAATTTTCCAGATTCTACGAAACTGCACTGGGGTGGTGAGTATTCTAGGCAGAAAAATCCAGTTAAATATGATTTATAACAGCTTGGACAACGGCTGTCATCAGTTTACATCAAATTGTCAGGGGTATCAATATTATATTAAAAAGAGACAGTATAAAAGACTCATTTAAATCATCTATTTTGAACAATACGCACCATGAATTTTTGTTTATTAGGAATTAGTATTTGGTACCAAATTTTAATATTTCATGAATCTAAAAGTCTAAACTACAAATGAATTAAGCCTCTTTATCCTTTCTAAAGCCTGTTTTAATGTTGGCTAATTTTCATGCTGAAAATGCCAAATGTCAAAGTTTCAATCAACTGTGACCCAAACTGCCCCATCAGAAGAAATGAAGTTAGTTGAAGTTAAACAAATAATCCAGGATAAGAAAAGTGCCAGCCTACGATAAACTGAAGGATACTGAAATGTCATTGTTATTGTAGATCAAATGAGCATAAAGGGGTGCTACTGTCAGGCTCAGAACAAAAGGACTCCGCTTTCGAGGCTGAGAGACAGTAGGTTTCACAAAATGTTTTTTTTAAGATGGAACTGTAGAGAAAGGCATCTAAGGCAGGAATCTCTGCAAGGGGAGAACACAGGTTAGTGACCATGTCTATCTTGCTGAGGTTAATAATGAACGTATGAGTCACCAACCTGCTCTTATAGTTCAGCCCGTGCCCTGAAGACAAAGTTGGTTCCAGCTGGTCGGCTTCCAACAAGACGCAGCGGGCGCCGCCTAGAGAGTCTCAGACGCTGTAGTCCCGGATGTCGGAGAACAGGCAGGAGGTCAGAACCAACCATACAAAAGAAGGCAGGATAATCCAGAGCGTGAAACCAAATCCGGTATTGAGGACGTGCTAAGGATTCAGAACCAGGAGATCAGAGATCTGAAGAGGTACAGAAGGGAAAACCAGGACGGTGTCAGGAGACAGTTCCAGGTTCTCTACATAGGCAGAATCGAGCAGGAGTCTGACAACAGATCAGGCAAGCAGATCAGAGTGGGAACATACAGGGCCAGAGGTCCAGAGGCAGAACGGGTCAGGATCCGGCAATCAAAACTCAATGACGCTAGAGAACTCACCAAAGGCTTGCATAATCTGCCACTGATGACTGTTTGTAGGATGGTTAAGAGAGGCTGAAGCAGTTGGAATGGTAATGAGAAGGGGGCAGAGCAAGGCAGGTGAAGGAAATGGGTAATAAGGCCAGCTCCAAGATCAGGACAGCTACAAAAGAAAGAACACCGGCTTCTTCCACTTCAGCCACACCAAAGTCTGACTACCGTCATTGGATCATGCCAGTTTAAACCCAACATTTAGGCTATGATAAAGACCAAAAACCAGAACCATGCCTTGACATGGTTATAACTACCAGTATTCAGAGTTTATTAATCAATTCTTATCTGGACCCTGAAGAGAGTTGTTTGCACATGAATGCTCCAATCCTACCAGTTAAACTGCAAATTAAATACTTTAAAAATGTCTCATGAAGCAGGGGTGAAGAAGTGCAGGTGCACAGCTACATGTTAACAGCAGAAGTAACAGCAGACACCCTATGAGATGGATTTCTTTCTGCCTTTTCTTTTTCTCGAACGGTGAAAGACTGTAGCAATACCAAAACAGTCTGTCGTGATTCATCCCATAAAAGAGCTTGTAAGTTCGGAAAATTTAGTTCCGCTGAAATAATCTGTTGACCCAGTTAAACAGCCCCAGTGTTGCTGTTGCCTCACAAGGGTTGTGTGTTTGTCTGACACAAGTGGATCCTCCTCACCAGTCTGCTATGGGCTAACCCGAACCACACTGTGTTGATGCCTAAACCTAAACAAATTAGGAGTTAAGCCCTCTGTGGTCACGACAGAAGATGGCCATATAGATTACTTCAGATTACTTTAGGCGAAGTGAATTTAGTACAACTATTGATATTAAAGTACACGTGTAAAAGCAAACTGTGCCAACCTAACGTATGAATTTTCACACTTTTCTTATCTGTAGACTAATCACTAGTACTGGAAGAATGGTGTTAATTTATGTCCTTAAACGAAGAGCTAAATGGTTGAAACTTGGAAACCGTTTTGGTTTCAAGTGGCATAAACAGGTGAACATTGAAGTTGTAGTCTCAACACGTTAGCAAAGAACCCTGTTAAAAAAGCTGTACTATGCAAGGAAACTAACTCCCATTTGCAGTTTTGAAATTATTCAGATGAGATCATTCGACTGAAAATTTTCACTTACTCTTAGTTATCTGGGAAATGGGAAATGTTTATTATTCAGTAGTGCACACAGATTGACACTTGAGTGACCTAGGCTCAAAATCTCTAAGATAAATTATAGGATCTAGTAAAGCTGATACTTGATTTGGACTCCTGTTTGGGAGTCAATACTTCTAAAATCTATGGTTAGTTAGAAACATAGCCTCAGGTATGATCATGCCTTAACAATTAGCTATGAAAATCAGTACCAACTACTTTCCAAAATAGAACATATGGGTATCACAAAGCCCTATAATTATTATTACTTACAGAAACATTTAAAGGTTATATGTCTTTTAAATGTCAAAATTATCTGATTTGAGCTCTGCAAGAGACCTGGTGCAGTATGGGTGGCACCAAAGTTTCTCTAAATAAAACCATGTTACTTCAGAGAGTGAATGCAGCCCAAGTGCTTGCTGATATTTTCCTTTGCACTAGTATTTTTAGTCACCCAACCATCAACTGATTCTTTTATTGTGACAATGGAAGTTGTGTAAATCACCTGCAGCTCACTGTAGGCTGTGAAGAAAAGCTGAAAGTGTATTTGAAAGGAATGTTGAGGCAGTCTGCTGAGTGTGCAGCCCGTTCATGTTGGCGTGTCAGTGATTTATAGATACGGGCTTCCACAGGCACCCATGGGTGGGTGGTTGTCCTGAGATTTTCTGTTATTCCTTCTGTCTGTCTGTTTTTCTTTCTCTCACTCTCTCTTGGCCGGGCCATGTGCAAATCCCAACAATTCAACAGTTCTGGAGAGTAGATTGTATTAATCTCAATAATGGTAGTCTCCTTCCGTTTCTTTCTCACTCTCAACCCAGACGATGGCTCCAAGCCCACACCGACCATGGAGACCCACATCCCCCCCGAGGGTGAGGGTAAGCTTCCTCTAACAGTTCTTCCACCCGTAACGCGGTTTTGAGAGGATCACTTTGACAACTAATGTGCATACCAAAGATTTATAATGACTCTCAAGGGTTAGATACCGCTTCCAGAATTGTTCCTTTGTGTGCTTATGTTCATCATATTCCAGCAAATTGCTGCAGCCACAGCTTGTCATCAAGTTCATATCCAAACCTAAGACGTAGTGTATTCTTTTAAAAAGACACCATTAGATTTAATGCAAATGTCCACATGTTAAAAACTATATTTCATATTTCTGTGAATGCCAGGATTTTTATGCCGTTTTAAAGTTTGTGTTTCTAGGCAAAAGCCTGACTCCGTTTGTTGTCTTTTAAATTTTTAAAGCTGACTAAGTTAGACATTTTTATGTAGCAACCTCAGTTTGTGAGAACTGTGGACCTCTTTTCTGTCATGCTGTCATTGCAGAGATAACTGCTCCAACACTATGGATAAAACATCTGGTGTACAAGGAGAATAGGCAAAACAGCTCATCTTCTAGAAAGCAAGGTGAGATTGGAAAACGTACCCTCTCAGCTGCACAAGTTCTTTACAGAAGATCTGTCTTGATTTGAATGTGCTTATTAAATTACATTCTTATGAACTTTTAACATGGTTTGACAATTTAGATCAGTTTAAGGGAATCCAGAATATAGTTTTTTATTTCTATTTTTTCACTTTATGTTCTGGATAATAACTAAAAATCCAACAGGTCTTTTTTCAGATCTTAAAGCTACTTTCATGAAACGTTCCTGGTACTTTATTGGAACTTGAAAGTACCTTTCCTGAGACTTAAGTTACTTTCTTGAAACAGTTTTTTAAACCTGCTTTTTTAGCACTTACCAGGTACTTTTCCAGAACCTTTACGTTACTTTACTTTGTTATTATGGAACGTCCCTGGTATTTTCTAAAACTTTAGTTTACTTGATTTGAGGTCTGAATAGTGTTTTCTAGCTTTGTGAAAGTTCTTGGTATGTTTAAGAAACATCCTGTTTAGGTCCATGAAAGTTCATGTATCAGGTAAGTTGTGGAAAAAGGTCTGGGAAACTTTTGGAAAAGTAAAAAAAATATATCAGAAATGTTTCAAGGAAATTATGGAAAACTGTGGAATTTCTACTAAAATTCCTAAATGTATCATGTGCTTTTCAGTCATTCAGAGCTGAATGATAGATACTGACAACACATACTTTAATTGGTCCAACGGTTTTTAACGGAAGATAATTTTCTAATTTTAAGACAGTCCACTCTGTGATATCTCTTGATTCGATGCATGTTTCATCTGTTTAATCCCATTGCTCTTAAAACGTTTTAATTCAATTACGGTTCTGTTTTGAATCGAGCTAGGAATGAATATGAGGGTAAAGACAGGACAGATATGTTGGTTAGGCCCCTGTGGAGCCATTGTAAAGAATTAAACTAGTATTACTGAGGCGTGCAAGGAAGCACCACGAACACGATTAGCATCTTGTTATATGTGATAGAGATTGATTGTTCCTCCTAATGATGACAGTAGCAGAAGTGTGTTGATGATGAAGGGCCTGCATGTTTCATCACTTTGACCTCAAACCAGACTGGGGGTGTGATCAATTTCAGAGGCTTCATCCTCCAAGGACCCGGTCTATCTGGACTGGATCCTTCGAGGTCCATGTAAAAAAAGAGTCCGGAAAAGTTTGGCTATGTATTCAGACAGGTCAAGCCTTCCCCCGGTTTTCACCGCCAGGGCACTCTGTCCCCTAGCAACTATTACAGTTGACACACAAGGCTGAATTCGAACTCAGCAAGTGTCTAGGTCAACAGTAAATGTTTGCGTTAAGATGTTGCTACACGTTGTGATTTCCTGTAGGGAGATTGTTGCTAGATGTATAAAATAAGAAAAGTGCTCAAAATTAAAGCTAAACTGGGCTTAGGAAACCTAGAACTGTTATAGTTTATAATATTGCTGTTAACCTGACTGGCGACCTGTACAGGGTGTATCCTGTCTCTCGCCCGTAGACAGCTGGAGATAGGCCCCAGCACCCCTTGCGACCCTGCTTGGGATAAGCGTGAATGGATGGATGGATGGATGTCTGTTAACCTTTATTTTCCTCACTCTTTTCTTTCTCATTTATCCTTGTTATGTTCTTACTTCCTGGTCACAAAAAGTATTCCAGCTGTGGGAATGAGGATGGTAAACATCCATCCAACCAAACAAATATGTTAATGGTTTGCAGAGCATAAGCACATGGATGTTGAGTTACAACTGCCTCCCTAATATTGCAGCTGTCCTCTGTGACTGGAGTATTTCAGATTATGATACTGTGATGACAGCTGCCTTTTAATATATACTGTGCAGCTCTGTTTCTAATACGCATCTTCATTTTCAGTAGACTTCAGAGATTTTTTGGAATGCATGCTACAAGCTTTGTTTTTATACAAACACTAAACAGTCTTCTTTTTCTCTCTGAATTTAGTTTTTATTTCCTTACCTTCCATTTCATGCACTGTTAAAAGCAATAGAGGAAACAAGGACTTGATCCACTAACATGTGTTTGTACATATTTTGACTGATCTGAGGAAGAGAGGAAACTGCGGTCTGGCCTGCTGTAAAGATCGTATTAATTCTGAGAGATATTTGCAGTGACAACTCTTTGAAACTGCTGTGGAAAGTCCAGCTTCCTGGTTCCAATTAACATCTGAGCATCATAAAGAGGGAATAAAAAAAGTCTAAGCCAGACTGAGGGGGGTTGTCATCGCTTACAAGACATAAATTAAGTGTGTGTTTAAATCTGTAATTCCATACCCTGTTTGTTTTTTTTATTTCCGATTGGAAAAGTGTGTAACAAAGGTGCCGAAGCCAAGTTCAGTGGCCACTGGGAAATAAAGCCAAGCGCACAAATGGTTAAATATATATACAAAAAATAATGTGTGAGTTTACTGAAAAAACAGTGGCCTGCCTGGTAATCCAGAATTCTGCTTTCGGCATCTTTTAACTTGCATATGTTGTGGAGGATTTTTTTAAATTTCTTTATTAAGGAAAATTATGCATATTATTTTCACTAGTGTTATAGAACCCAAACTTATGAAAGGTGTTTAATTTTCTGAGTAAGCATTACAAAATGATCAAATGTGAGAATTTTTTAAGGGAGCATATTAGGTGAGAAATAACTCTAATTAAACGTTTTCTGAGTAGTTTGCTAAACTTGGTTTATTTCTTTAAAAACAGATATCAGTAAATACTTTTAAAATGTCTTTGGGGTGGGGGGTGGGTTCTGCATTATTCCAATTATGCTAATATTGCTGTTACACAATTGTTACACAAGTCTGAGATAACAGTTTATTACCAATTTATAGCATACAGAGGGAACGACAATGCTCTTCATGGCTCAAAGATCTGAAAACGTGGTTGCTGAATCCACCAATGAATCAGCATAAGCATGCACATTTTGGCCAATACTGATACAATAAATAGTACGGCCTGGAATATTGTCACGTATCAGTTTATCTCTACTCCAAAGCTAAAGCTGCTGCCTTGTTGATGTAGTTTGTGGAGCAAAGTCTCTGTTGCACATTCTTTTTTTTTTTTTTTTTTTTTACAAACTGATTTAGCTTAAACTGCAGAACACATTCCATCTGGGTTTCATAGACAAATGTCAGAGAACATGATGCCTCAGTTTTTTTACATAAGTGCTTTAAGTTTTTTGTACTTATGCAACTAAACTTTAACCCCTGCCTACCTAAGCTTCGACAGTGAGTTTAGGATTGCTAGAAGGGGACAACAGAGCAATAAAGAAAGGAGGTATAAAAGCTGTTTTTACCACATTTTTAAGTGGGATGCGTAAACTGTTGACATGCATGGTGAATCTTTTTCTCTGACTGGGTGCTAATTCTATAAATTAGAATCAAGTTTGACATGGTTAAAAACGTTAATAAAATGGTTAAACTAAAACAGGTTAGGAAAGGATTGGAGTGTTGCAAAAAAAGACATTTTTTGTAATTAGTTGGGAGATTTTCTTTCTTTCCAATCCCTAACTAATTAAAAAAATAAAATAGCATAAAATAAACACAGCTTTTAGCTCTAAGTCATCTCTGCTAGTTGAAAACTGTTCAGTTTATGTTTAGCTAAATAAATTATCTAAATACCAGCCTGATCATTGCTGTGTGTGACCTGTGTTTTTATTGGAAGCACTTTGCTGTTCCCTGCCAGTGTTAGAGGCCAGAGAGGCTACGATTGTTAGCAGTCATCAGTAGAGATGATCTGATTACACAGGCTTTGTGACTAAAAAAAGAAAATGGCAAGCGTTCACATTAAGGCACAACAATCCTCTCTGTTTAAAGTTTTTAATCATTGCTTCTTCCCAATGTTTCTAATTTTACTGGAAAACTCTTGAGTTCTCACCAAGTGAGCTCATGAGTGACATCGCCCAAAAACCGGCTGAGAGGAGTGGAGTAAATGTTTGCTAACAGTGTTTGCTTAAGCAAACAAATGCAAAGTTCATTTTTAAACAGATGGGTCACTGCCAGACTTTGACATCCAAATATCTAATAGAAGTGAACACAGACACCTAAAAATGCACTAATCGTAAATTTTCCATACAAAAGCATCAACTTTTACTTTTATTACTGATCTTTTTTAATTTTATTCGAGTCATTTAGTCTTGTGCTTGTGCGGGATGTACATCTTTCAGGACAAAAAGTGAAGACAGAGAAGGAATAGAAATAAACGATGTGATGAAAAGCTCTAACGAAAGGAGCCGTTTCCGTGACTGAACCCTTAGTCCACTTAAATCTATTGATTTTAAGCTTCTTTTAATAAACCTACTGGCCTCCTTCACACAAATTCCTGACATTTAGAACATTTTAGCTGTTTTAACTGCAGTGGAGGCTTCCTAGAAACAGTATTGCAGTGATTACTGCACAGCTGAAAGCCATTGGAGTGAAGTGAAGAGGAGAAAGTGCTTGGAGATTGGGGGAGGTGTTCAGGTTTAAAGAGAGGGGATCGGGGGAAGAAACAAAGAGGTAAAGAAGATGAAGATCTGGAGAAGAGGAGAGCGCTTTATAGTCTCACCTGGATCTGAGTCTGGATAATCATGGCCAGAATGAATAAAATGGAGCTTATTAAAGGTACTTTAGATGTTCATCTTCCCTCCATTATTAACCTACCAGGATAGAGAGCAAACAGCTCCAGTGACTCCTAGTTGCTCTGGTGTTGGTGTTCCTTAGTGGGATATTTGTTTTCAGAGACTTTGTGTTTCATTATTTAGGTTCTGTGCAGGAAGGCGAAGTAGAAAACAAAAATATTTGGAAATGGAGATATTTATTACAGGCTTCCAGCATTTCCAGCATGAACTGTATTTAATTTATATAATCCGTTCAAAAGCTTTTTGTCTTTGACAATAGTTTTTCAAAAAGGAAAATAAAAAACAGATGAAATATTCTGTTTATATGTGTTATAAACTGAATTTATTTATATCAGGAGGATATATATAGAAGTTTTGGACATGAATGGCTACAGTAAATATTGAATAGATTATTACCTTTTTAGTCGCACTATGGGGAAATTCAGGTGCAACAGCGGCAAAACAGATAAACCTAATAAAGCTTAAGACTTGGTAATATAAAAAAAACAAAAAACAAAACAGAGACTAAACTTGGCAAAAATGATATCATAACAGAAAGTTTAATATTTTCTATATTTTTCATAAAGTTTGCAGTTATTTCCTGCTGTAATTAAACATTTGTCCATTCTAAATTGCCCAGCTTCTAACATGATGTATGTTTAGCTTCATCCATCTTCCTCTCAGCACTTACCAGTGTTTGTCCCAGCAAATAAAAAAGTTTTCCTCTAGAATAATGCCACCATCACGTTTCATGTTTCATGTTTGAGAAGTAAAAGTATTTGTATTGAAAATATCCAGTACAGTGCTGTCAGTGTGATGTGTCCTTGTACCAAGCGAATAAAGCCTTTTTGTATACAAATGCAGAATATTTAAGCGCAGAACTAGATGTGCAATGGACTATTATTAAGCGCAACTTTTAGAAGTGAGACCAAAACAAAGGAGTACTGGCAGCTAGCTCTAAGCTCTGCTTATTTTGGAACATTGAGGTTTGTCATACAAAGGACAAAAAAAATGGAGTAAATCTCACAAAAATGTTTTTAAAAATGGTAATAGTGTAACTCGCTCAGCACTAAACGTTATCAGTTGAACATCACAAATGCTGGAAAAAAAGGCTACATTGAAGTACAGCTGGGACATTAGGTATTATTGTAATATAAAATAATGAAATATGTTTTAGATATGGGCACCTCATCTCAGCATCTCTGAGCTTCCTTTTGGACAAACCTGCTGTTTGCTGACCTAAGGGGCTGAGAAAGTGATAAATTGAATAGCTCTTTGTGAGACCTTTTTATTCCAAAGATTTCTCTGTAAATCCCTCCTTTATAATGCTGTTTGTTCAGTGATGTTCTCTAACAAATCTCTGAGGCCCTTTTGAGGATAGCTGCTTTTATAGTGAGATCCAATTACACAAACCTGAAAGCTGCTCTCAGAATAAGCAAACAGCTAGAACTGTATGGCAAGCCGACTTAACATAAATTCGGTTGTACCGCCTTTACATTCAAGATATCTCAAATAGTTTTATGACTAGACACTTTAGCGATTTAAGATATCTCTAATTATATTTTGACTAGTCAAAATTCCTATTCGGGATTTCTCTAATTACATTGTGACTAGTCGAAATGACGTCAGATTTACCATTAACTTGTATGGAGACGTCAATTTAAGATATCTAGAATGAATTACTGACTATCTGAAATGTAAATTCAGGATATCTCGATTTTAATTTTGACTAGTCATAATTCTAATTAAAGATATCTCAAATGCCACCATAATTCATGATATCTTAAATGTATTTTAGGATAGGAGATATGCAGTTTTGACTAGTGAAAACTCAATTAAAGATATCTTAAAGCAAATAATGACTAGACAAAACAAAATTAAAGATATCTTGAATTGTAATTTTGACTGTTCGAAATTCCTTATATCTCTAAATGAATTAAAGATATCTTGAATTATTCAGCTTTTCCATTAAAGATATCTTAAATTGACATTCTGACTAGTCAAAATGTGTCATGATCTTTTTAATGGGCTTCAGGGAGGATCATTCCTAAAAAAATCCTCACTGTCAGTTTAATCCAAAGGAGGAAAATCAGCGTGTGACGCTTTAAATGATGAATCAGGTGTCGTAATTTGAGATACAGTATCTTGAAAGGAATTTCGACTAGGTAAAATGTAATTTAAGATATCTTGAATTATTATTCTTCCTAATCAGAATGTAAACACAGATATCTTAAATTACCATACCGGATATGTGGTTTTGTCTAGTCAAAATGTATTTTAAGATATCTGGAACGTAATTATGGATGGTCAGACAAAACCGAATTTATGTTAAAAAAGCTTGCCATAAGAACTGGACTGTGTTTAAGGGCCTCAGAGGGTTCATTACAAATGCAAACATTATTTTTGTATCAGCAACCTTTAATTCTTCAATTTGGCACTAATCTATGTCAGTTTATCACCCAAAATCTTGTTGGAATTTATCAAAAAATGATCAGATATGTAGGTTAACAGTATTGAAAGAGTATTGTCTGTTTACAGGTACAAATTTGGAGTTTGGGTTTTTCTGAAATGTAAACATTTGGTTACAAAATTTTTCCTCGGGGCTTTTTATTGACAAGATGAGACATAAATGAAGAATGACAGAGGGTTGAGAAATAAAGCTCAGTGTAGTTGGAAGTTTATTGATTTCTGGGTGATAAAAAAGGTGAAGGATGAAGCAATCTCCGGGTCAAATAGGTCCTGATGGTGATCCACATTTGGAGGCATGCTGTAAAAGAAAAAACTGTGAAAACATGCTGAAAGCATCAATCTGTGTTTGATTGGAAACCAGTGCACCGTACAATAGACGGATGAATGAAACACCACAGACTCATGTCACTTGTCTTTCATGCACGATAACATTGTTTTTCATGTATTCAAAACATCCACCTGATTTACCAACTTTTTATCTCTGCCTTTTCCCTCTCTGCTGAAACCCATTTTTCAGAAAAGGTTCCCTCTTGTGACCAGGAGAGACAGAATGCTCTGACTGAGGCTCAGCAAAGTTCTCGAGAGTCCATCATAATCCCAGACTGTGGGTCTGGAGGCCTTTACAAACCAGTCCAGTGCCACCAGTATACTGGTTACTGCTGGTGTGTTATGGTGGATACAGGACGGCCGATCCCTGGAACTTCAACCTTGTAAGATTTATTATCAAAAATACACTGAACAAAATAGCGTTGATGGTTTGATTATTTTTCTTTGTGCTTACTGATGATTCATGTATTTATTTACATCCATAACTGTATAATTACTACAAATGGATTTAGATTCAATTGGCTTCTGTGAAAGCATGAGAAAGTACTGAGTCAGCTCAAGTTCTAATGTTAGGCAAACATAATTGTTGTGGTCCAGTTTTGATGACACAAAAAAAAGTGGAAATCCACAAAGGCCACAGATGCACCATCGACTAATTTTACGCAAGAAAAAAAAATGTTCCAGGTAAACTCCTTTAGTTTTCTCAGTTTATTTTTTTCTCAGGCAAGCAAACAAAAAAAGACAAACATTTCCTCCATGTTTCTCTTGCGCTGGTAAAAAACCATAAGCCCACCCAGATGCATGCTGGTCCTACCGTTGACTGCCTATTTATAAAAAAGAATTCAACTAAATTAATCATAACTAACCAAAAACAAAGGAGCATGACTAAATAACAAAAAAACATAATCTCATAACAGATATCAAATAATAAAGTAAAATAAACTGCTAGATTATGCACAAAAACAAAAAACATTTTTAATTATTAACAAAAAATAATTGGCTCCTACAATAATTGTAAGCTTAATTTCTCAAAAGAAATGACACATTTTTAATAACCCCCCCAATGAAAGATGCTAAATTGATAAGAGCAAAAAAAAATAAATAAATAAATAAATAAATAAATATATATATATATATATATATATATATATA